GATCGTCGTTTAGGCAGTTGTATTTGCCATAACAATTAAATGCATTACTTTTTTTCGTTTATAAACTAGTTTTCGAGATTACTCCTAGTAGTCTGTTCATTCGCTGCAATATATCTCCCTTCCCCACTGTATTGGCTTCTAGAACTGCATACCTACACTTAAACTTCGCTTAATATGGCCCTAGAGAATGGAAGAGAATAGTGTAGGTGGAGAATAGGCAAACTAACACAGGTTTTGTGAAGTCTATTGGACTTTAGGCACAACAATCTCGTTTTTTAGAGGGATATTCGACAAGGTTAACGCGAGTTTCCTATAATATTTTTGGAAGCCATGCGAGTAAATCCCTGAATATGAAGTAAAGAGGGACCAGAACTAAAGGCTCATAGACAGCCAGGAAGGTGATTATTTTCGTGTGAAGCCTTAAATAGCTGGCAATTCGGATGGAGATGTGGTGATTGGGTCCAAGAAGCCTTACGAGCAGAATACGAAAATGGTGATTGCGCTTCACTAGATCCACTTAAGTGACACTTTTAGGCGATATTGACGCAAGACGAAAATTATGGAAAATAAGCGCTAGAAGCCAGGACAGAGGGCCAGGTGGAAGCCACAACAATTAAACAGCACACGTTTGGTCAAAGGATCGGCTTCACTTGTCTCTTTGACGAGTTGTTGTATGGTGCTAAGAATGGCGATATTCACTGACGATGCAGGCGAAACGTTTTGGAATGTACCACTACCACGGTTCAACTTTGGAAATGATCATGCAGACAATGGACTCTGGACTAGGTGAGTTCCTCTAGGTCTTCCTACCAATATGACCATGTTGTGAACACAAGGTCAAACAACCTCTATACAACGAAAGGAGACTGCTACCACACAAAATGCCACACCATCTTGGTCTTAATACCTTCGATTAAACAAAGGTTGGGAGAGAGTATTTTCTTATGTTGTAACTTTGGGTCTCACAATTACCATGCCGAGTATAACAGAGGACTCAGGACTAGGTATCCTACACAAGATCTCAATTTCGCTCCAACCAAGTTGATAAAAATAAGACTAACCAACAGTATACGGTTAAAGAGATTGAGATGCTACCTAAGACCAAATCATCTCGGTTTCTATATCTGAGAGAAGTTGCACGCTCCCCTGTCCTGCAATAGATGGCTGTCTTCATTATATTTGTTTTTAGGCATCTTAAAAATAGTTAGCAATCATACCAAGTGGAAAGCTGTTAGAAACGATGTGCCGATACGGATAAATCAGAAAATCCTACTAAATGAAAATCCGAGTTCGATTTCTAGTAGGACCACTCTGCGAATACTTTCTAACAAGGCTATCATATTAGATGAAAGTGAAATCCAGAAAATATGCACATAAAAAAACAAGTGAAAAATAAATAGTTAAAAGTGATTTCAAAAGACAATAGTTACCCTTAGTAGTTGATCAGCATGCATAAATAACAAAAAACTAGTAAGGATGAACGCGTCTATTTTATTTATACCGCTTTTTATGTGTACGTTAAACGTGCAACTATAACAAGACAAGTGCCAGTGTGCATATTTGAATTAAATTCTTATCTAAGGAATATTTCTGTCCTTTTATCAAATATGACGCTATGCACCAATTCAACTAACATTGCAAAAAGTTATGTTCGAATTAAAAAAAAGCCTAAAGTCCGTGCACAGGTGGTTGTTGGGTGCGGAAAAAAACAAGAGTGATACACAATCAAAGCAACAAGCAGTTGACAAGCGAGATGACAAGTATTCATAATACCCCTTTTCTATGTCATTCGCAGTTATCAGAATGAATAAGTTAAATCCTTTCAATCACAAAAACACATTTGTTCTGCTAAAAAGATGAACATAAAGCAGTAGGATATCAGGAACACCTTAGTCTATTCAGCAAGCAAGTAAGTATAGGACCAGTGTTTAGGGTTAAAAAGGTCGAAATTTTAATCAAGATAAGATCTAAATCAGGCAAACGGCAGGCATTAAAATATAGTATACATATTGGGATTATGCTATAATTTTTAAAAACTTTTAAAAATCATTATAATTACAATGAGTCTAAAAGGTTGAGAATAATTCGTAGAATAAACCCAAACTTTACAATCCAAGGAGAAAATAATCTTACTCGCTCCAAAGAGACGGTATATCCCGAAGGCGAACGAGTTGAAGATATCGAAGATTTCTGGGCAGATATAGGAGTTAGATTTGTTGGTTCCTGAGTAATAGTAGAAGTTGTTGAAGTCTAAATGCGTACCAAAAAGAAGGTTCAATAGGTCCAGAAGATAATGTGTAAAAAAGTTCTTTTGCAAGAGGGGGCAAAATTAAGTTATCTAAAAGTTCTGACTTTATTTTCACAACTTGGTCATCTTGACAGGAAGACCTAGAGGGTTCACAGTATGCATGATAATTTCCAGTAGGACAGTGAACTTGGTACATTCCCAGATATTTCGCCGGCACCATGCCCATCTAACTGGCGATGCCAGAGAAAGTATTGGAATGCACCAAGTCGGTGATCCAACTCTGGAAATCATCATGCATACTAAGGCCTCCGGACAATATGCATTCCTCTAGGTCTTCCGGCCAATATGACCAAGTTGCGAAAACAAGGTCAAACAATTTATATACAACGAAATAGGACCACGATCATACAAAGGCCACACCATCTTGGTCTTTATATCTTCCATTAATTTATCTAAGTAACAAAAACTATGACCATTGAATGTAATGCTTATTCAGAGAAGCAATAAAAAATATAAAGCATCTTATGCCAAAATGATGAGCCTTAAATATGGAAATCAAATGAAGAAACGCATGCACCTATATCCTCTATCTACAAAATTAGATAACAAAAGTGATTTATAACCCATTACTAAAGAAGGCTAACATCAAAGTATTAAGATAGGAAGGACCTTTACCATGTCCAATATTATACTTCAATTTAGAAAGTATGGACATATGGTTCAGATAAATATGATGTTTGTACCATACAAAGATGGTAAAACTATATGAAATGCAATAGTAATGCCAATTAAGTTCACAGCTACATGTGGAAAGTGAAGTATCTACATAGGTGACAAAACAGTTAAGGAATGGGGCAGTACCAGAATGTTTTTAAATAGTAAATGTGGATTCCGAGACAAAGGTTTAGCAACTACAAAGCATAATCTTATTTATATTAAATCGTAGATATGAATAATTAGATGGTGTAGTCGTGGCTGACGATGCCGACGAAACATTTGGTCCGATGTTGGAAATCACGAATAGTATGGCAGAGGACACAGGACACAAGGTCGCGATGACGATCAGAACAAGTAGGCTAAAACAAAGTTGAATCAACATTTAGTGAGATAAAGTTACTTATTATTATCACATTAACTGAGATCGTCAATCTTAAGTATTCAAATAAGTAGAAATGATTAGTAGAAATAGACCGACAGTTTGAATTTATCACATAGGCATATTTTTAAGTTCATCGATGCTAAATTATCTGGTCAGCCAAATTTTATCATTTTTGCATAGTTAACGACGGTTTCAGTTAATGTGTTTCTGATTTCAAATCAAGCAAATAACTTAATATCACTAAGATTAGTTATAATAGGTAAAGTTTTTGTATCATAATGATCACTTACTAGTTAAAAACCGTTGGCATTACCTCTGTCGTATCACAGGTGTCGATACTTCATTTTCCACTTTGCATTGCATGTGGCTATGAAATTACTTGGAAGTACTGATGCATTGAGTAGTTTTATTCTCAAAAATGGTAAATGTGATTGAACCGCACTACCATATTTCTAACTCTTTATCACACGCTTTAAAAATAAAGAAAAAGTATCTAATTGATATATTTGGACCCCGTTAATTACACCGAGGGCAAAAGCATAGAGGAGTCAAAAGATAAGGTATAAATAGTGGAACAAACAGAAAAGCCGGCAGAAAGTTGATGACGTTGACGTTGTGTATGGCGATCCGGTGTCGAGGAAGATAAACTTCGAGTAGCTTCAATCATGCTGGGCACCAGCCGGAGCTCAGCCTCGGCCAGTGAAAGACGAAGGGATTTGTTGCTTGACTGGAAAATGAAGAAAAGTTAAATTAGAATACTAATAAAAAAGAATCTGCTTCCATCTGATTCCTAAGGCCCTGATTTCATTTTCCATATAAATGGTTAGCAGCTTAGTCACATTAGGTCGCTGTGATTTAAGAATTAATTGTCGAGTCTTCCGACAATGGGATTAGTAGATCTCACGATGTCAGTG